TATATATACTATAATATATATATATATATATATATATATATATATATATATATATATATATATATATATATATATATATATATTATATATATATATATATATATATATCTATTCATATATATACATATACACATATATGTATATATATATATATATATATATATATATAATATATATATATATATATATAATATATATATATATAATATATATATATATATATTTAGAAAAGATCTCTTAAAGATGAACATACCAGTAAGCTCTTCCTCAAGGGCAAGAGTGAACGTGCGATCACTCCACTTGAGAGACATGTCCACATTGCGATGGGAATGTCCAACATCCCAAGAAAGCTGGAACATGCGCTCCATTTTCCCCATGTACTTTCGATTTTTTTTATACAAGAAGGGGATTGCGAGCTTTACTACACGTCCTGTTGATAGATAAAGTGGATTCATATTACTTGAAATATATCATTGTCACATATCAGGTAATAAAATATTGATGTATCATATAATTATTAAAACAAATGTATCAAAGTTCATTTCCTGACCATTATGCACTAGTTTTTTATCCCCAATAATGATTATCTCACACAACTTATTACAATATCATAGTAATTTATACTCCCTAGGATTTCCAATCCAAAGCTGTGGAAATACTTGAAATAACATCAATTATTGGCTAGTTTCTATGGCAGAGGTGTCAAGACTTATAATCTTCCTTTCATGAACCATCTTGAGGGCCAACAATGGTATATACTTCGCTGTGACTTTAGTGTAAAACTATTTAATGATTTTCATTTACAACAACCATATGCATCTTCCCTGTATAATTGTGAAATTTCTAACAACAGCAATATAAATGAAACTATTACGATGTAAAGGTTACTATGAATTTTCAGTCATATAATTATATATTACTTTATGATGATTATAATTTCATAGGCTAACAGTTCTTCATGTTACCCATCAGGCCATTTATAACCATTCTAGTTTGACACTCCTGGTCTACAGTGTTATAGCAGCTGACTGGCTGATGTTTAAAGTATTACAGAAGCTGACTAGATAGTTTACCAGAAGAGTGTTTTGTGTTTTACCAATACATATATACAGCAGCTAAATGATGTATCACTGCAGTTGTTTGACTGGTGTTTAAGGCCTCATAAGATGACTGGCTGATATGTGAGTGTCACAGCAACTGATTGGTATTCCAGCAGGGAATTGGGATATGTTTGAATAGCAGGTGTCTGAGGTGTCTCATCAACTGCTAGGCTGATGATTGTTGTCACAAAAGCTGACTGCTTGGTATTGGAAATGTCAGAGAAGCATTAAGTTTATGTGAGCAGCCACTATGATGGATGAGCTCTTCCAGTCATGGCTCACAGACACTACATTCCACATTCTTTTATCGATGGGAATAATGCAAAAGCCCCTTTCAAAACACCAAATGAGTATAATCACCCTCCAAGAGGTTTGTGCACAAAATGCTCATGGAATGAACATCCTGGCCCACTGCCACATTTTCCCATAAAACCATGTTCATGTCATCTGCCCCTCAAACAATATTTTTTCATGATGTGATGGTCACATCATCCAGGTTCGTAAGGGTTAGTGACTGATGTCAGAAAATTTCGAACAGAAAACAAGAACATGTTACATGAGATGCCTACTGTTAAAGAATGAATGACATATAGTCTCTTTCGCAATCTGGTTCACCTATGAATGTTCACTATTATGATTTATTTCCGTGGTAAACTGCTATACATTCTGACTTAATAAAGGAAGTCTTGAGATTTGGAACATTCATTACCCTATGAAGCTGAACTTTTTGAGGAGGTTATTCTATTATGTAGATTCCTCAAATCAAATACTATATAATGCTACTGTAACTGAAGAAAATGAAGAAATATTTTCATTCAATAAAAGCAATCTTCAATGCAAATACACTATTTAAAAAATTACCTGCCCTGCTAGCAATGCTTGCCACTTTGTTCCTCATAAAGCTGTCCATTGTAGCTGACAGAAATCCCTTATTATACTCAGCAACAATCAGGTTCAACTGCCCTGTAAAACAATCATAATATTAGGAAAAAAAATATTTCACAAACATATTTGAAGTAAACTTCTATATGAATACTTTTGATGACACATGAATGGTCATTTCAAAACAACCATACTATATACATTCATGGAAATATCATAGGCTATATAGATGTAGATGACAGCATAATGAGTAGAACTGTGGACACAATACTGGTTGTACCACTAAGAAAAAAAAAAGTCCACAAACCTCATTTTCTCAATCATCTTGAAAGATAACAATACTGTGAGCTTCCTGGAAATGTCACATATGGTGCTGCACACCCACAGTATATCAGTATCAAATTAAATACCCCTTAACTAAAGTGGTTTTTGTCTGCCTTAGTCTATTCCCATTCAATATTCCCAAATATTTTTAACATATTTTTTACTTTTCTTCATATAATGAAACTTGACACAATAATAATGTACATTATAGTGACAAATGCTGAACATCACTTACCTAACACAAACTTAGCAGCATTTTTGACTAATCCTTTAATTCTAACCCTCATCAACTGAATTGACTATATCATTTGCATTGACCACGGACATAACTGTATCAAATTTCGGAGAAAATACAGAACTACACCTTACCAATACTTCTTTTATGATAAAATAGAAGGTAAGCAACATACTCCAGGGGAAAGGGGGCTTATGGATTTGCCAATAGTAAGGGAACTACCCAAAGGAAGGGGATCTGGGGCTTGCCCACAGTAGGGAAATACCTTAGGGGAAAGGAGGGTCCAAGGGCTTGCCCCAGGAGGGAATACCCCAGGGAAGGGAGTCTGAAGGCTTGCTTCTGGTCCCCCAAGACTGAATGTGATAAGAGAAAAAAAATCACAGAAAATAGGTGCAGCTGTCTTTGTTAGAAATTTCCAAGAAAGTAGGGACTAAGAAATTCTTACTAAAGAACAGAAACATATTTCTCACACACATTCATACTGAAAGCATAAACAATAACTTTAAAAATCAAACTAGATCTTTGTTTCTGGCTAAAAAAAAGAAAAAAAAATGTAATCAAAGATATACCAGCATTTCTCAATAATCATACATCAATGAAAAAGTGCTGGAAACATCCACATATATTTACTGAATACCTTTAGAAGAGTATTGCATTCCATAAAATTTATGCCGAGAATGCACTAACACAAGATTTTACATAACAAACCAATGATGTAACAGGACCCTAAATAATAAAGTTTGGAATTAGGTGACCAGACAATCCATCACATAGACAATCTGATCATGTACTGCCATTTATTAAGAACATTTCTGACAGCTTTGGAAAATCATACTGGTCTATTATCTCATTACAAGTTTCAAGTGGATTTGAATAGAACGAAACCAGGATAATGGGAAAAATGTTTTATCAGCATTTACCAAATTACATTACCCAAGAAAAGCTAAAACGAAAAACAGCAAATGTATTCATGATACCTGTACTTACAAAATTGGACATTTTTCTCAAAATCAAATCATAATGGCTATGTTTCATCCAAATCCATTTAAAGCTTGCTGTGCTTTGTGATAGAAAGTTTTAGATTGTGTGGCAATAACTTCTAAACAGTTAACTAAAAACAAGAGTAACAAAAACCAAAAGTATTTACTATTTTCTGGTATTAAAAGATTGCATGTAATGTGTTTTGTGAATAGTTGTTTCAGATATTGAATGATGAATAAACTACAACAGGGGTGGGCAGGAAGTATAAATGATATATTGAACAATTTGTTATGAAAGTACTAATAACAAAGAATATTACATTACTGTAAAACAAATAGTCTAGTATTTGATTTTTAGTATCCTCCTTACATGGAGATTACGATGGGGTTCTATGCGAGCTTTTGCAGTGTCAAATGATGGCTATCCTGACAAACAGCATAAACACAATCTGTTGTCTTAGATAACCTTTGCCCGAGTGCTGACAGATGTGGAGACCATGGAAATCATATAACACTGTATTGCATATACTACTGATGTAATCTGATTCTACCAGACTTAAAACTACTGTAAATGAATATTACAACGTGTCTCCGACAAACCAAATACCAAAGTTGTTTCTATTTGGTAATATGGGGGTTTTATGAGTAAATAACAAAATGAACTATCAACACTTTCTTAATAAATAAACAACCAAAAAATAAATATCCGTGGCATACTAACAACATATTGTAAACTTTTATCACAACTCACCTTCAACCACCTTTGCCCCAAAGATCCCATCAAAGTTCATCTGCTTGAAGTTATTTTCGTAGTAACTGATGCTGCTGTCGAGAGCCGCAATGACCCTAGAAACGAGCTCGAGGTCCATGGTGACCAGGTGGCCCCCATCCATCTCCTGTGCCACATCCTTGCTCCTCAGACCACTCTCGAACCCCCTTCTGAAGTTGCCACGCCCGCCGTCTCTCACCGTGGTGCCATATTCACACAACAAAACCAAGCTAATCAGATGGAAAATCAACGTGTATTGAGCCATTTCAGGTAAAAATCAAAGGTTCAGGCACCACCATATTCCGGGTCATTCACTTTCACACCCGGATGATACGCTCCATCTGTGAGACTGAGTGATGTTTACATAGATGGCCGTTCGCGTATCTGATATGC